GTTTTTTTAGTCTTTATTTTACAGTTAAAATATATGTTTATCAGATAGATCCCTTTAAGGATATGTTTCAGGATTTTTTTATATTTAAAAGAAAAATTTCCCCTTATTTATTTATTTATTTTTAAATAATAACTGATGTACTTGCGACCTTTCCAAGGTGTACCCCACCCCTCACACTGTGACTGCTGGATGTGGGCACCAGTGACCCTGAAAGGGAAAAGCGGGTATAGATGATGGATGGATTTTTTAAAATATTTTTTTCCTTATTTATTCATTTCAGGATTTATTTAGATTTATATGACACTTGCCTGGCAGCTCTGCGTAACAAAACCCAGACCTATATGTCCATAAATAAGCTGTATGATCCCCACCCACTTGCTTCCATTTTTCCTTAGTAAAAGCAAAATAAGACAAATTTCCTTCCATTTATTTGTTCATTTATTTCCCTCTACCTTTTAACAGACTCGATGCTTTTCTCTGTCAGTTCGTGTCCTCTGTTCTACATTTATGACTAATATTCAAAATGGCAATCTTCTTCCAGGCAGGTCAGGGCTCTGTTGGCAAGCCAAACTGTTAAACATTTCTCCAAATATTCATTTCTCTGTCTTGAGTTATGACTAAAATTTTGTTTTCAAGTAGAGTTTTCTGCAGTCAGTTTATGAGAAGTGTAAAAGATCAGACTGCTAATTTTATTAATTGTATTTTTAATCACAACTCGACATGGATGGGCTAGCCACACAAAATTTGAATGCTGTGGATTTGTGGAGATGTATAACAGATTGCCTTGGTCAACAGAGTCCTGACCTGCCTGGAAAATGATCGCCATTTTGAATGAGTCATATAATCAGAACAGAAGACACGAAGTGGAAGAGAAAATCATTTGTTTTGTCAAAAGGCCGCGGGGGGAAAGTTACAAAACCCATTCTGCTCACAGAACAACAGAAATGGAAGCAGATGTGTGATTTAATGCATGCTATTTAATAAAACAAGGTTATTTAACCAATAACCCCAGTAACTTATGCAAAGCCTTTTTTCACAGTGAAAGTTATACAACTCGTTTATGGACATACATGTCTGTGTTTTATTTTGCACAGCTGCCAGGGACAGCGTCTGTGCTGGTGGTGAAACTAATTTCACAAAATACCCACAGAAAAACGCCGCCCCTTATTTGAACGGAAGAACATGAAATAAAACAGCATGAAGTAGCTTTATAAAATAAAAGTGTCACAAAATAAAACTAGAATTTAAATAAATTATTCATAAATATAAATAAATCTTGAAATAAATAAGGTATTTTTAAAATATAAATAAATCCTTAAATGACAAATGAACATATAAATTAAAGACAGAGAGGCTTAAAATGTATTTTAATGTATTGATTTGTTTTATTTCTTAGGGACATTTGTTTATTTGATGGAATTTTTGCATTAATTACAGTATTTTTTATTTATTTTGAATGAAATAAAAAATACAGGAAATTCTAAAGTTATTTTAGAGTTAAATATAAGGATGCACGATATATCGTTTCATATCGATGTATCCCTAGTTAAATTATCATTATTCTACAAAAACTACTGGAAACACATATTTGCCAGTGCCCTTCTGCAAAAACTACCAATAAATATAGAAAAATATAATTTCCTGTTCCTTTTTTTTTCGACAGTTGGAAGTAAACTAATCAAAATGGTTAAATTATTTTTCTCCTGGTAAAATACTGGAAAATGTATTTGTAGTTGCAGAGGAACATTGGTAAATATTTATTTTAAGTAATTTTTCCACATGGAAAAAATTATTTTGTGTATTGTGCAGCTGAAAAACTTTCTAAATGGGTAGGTTATTCCTTTTGTGGAAAAACTGCAGAGAAAATAATTTTTTTAGTAATATTTATTTGTTTTGATAAATTTTCAGCCAAGTCATTTAAGGTTGTTTATTTCAGTTGTAAAGTTCACAAAGTGTAACGTTTCTGGAACCCATTAATCAATGTAAGTGTGTGATTTAATACATTGTAAGGTTTATGAGGTATTGTACCAAGTTAGAAATGTTCTTTTTTTCCCTAAAACCCAGTAAATATGGTAAAGCTCTGATTTCCCAGCAGCGTTTCAAGTGTGAAAGTCTTAAAAGTCACATTCACCAGCGAGATTTGTGCACTTGTGTATATCTTGTTGCACACTCACTCAAATTTTCATGTGTGCGCACTCACATTGTGAGACGTGTCTCACACAACTCAAAATCAATCTAATTATTCCCCGACCATTATCCAAGGAGGGCGCCCCGGCCTGTCAACACATAGCATTAGTAACAGTGTTCTGCTAACACCACCACCCTCCAGCACTGGGAACATACACTGCTTTCTTTACACCACACACACGTTTGACAAGCCCCCTGCCAAGCTCAGGAATTACTGATACTGACACCATCATACAGTTTAAAACTTGACATTTCACATTTTCAGCTACAGAACAGAAGTCCAGTTGTTTTGTCTTGTTTAAACTAGCTATACTTAGCACAAGAAGTAAGGAAATTTGTGTTTGTCAGATTATTTCTTTTTTGTAACAATCGGTCACCTGACTTGACTTAGTCAAAACATTTGAGTTGAACATTGACTTTGAGTGTGAACGTAGCCTCAGAGGCTCAGTCTTGAGAATTATAAACATGTTAAAAACAAATGCATTTTTTTCTTTTAAAATATTCAGAGTTAAAGTGAGTCTCTAACATCTCTAGAGCTGCAAGGAGCTCTCTTCTGACAGTGAACATGTCTTAAACTGTTCTTAAACATGGCTTTTCTTTCTCCAACCAGAGGTTTTTGTCGATGTTGGATCAGTCTGAGTACTCCTTGAGGTGATTTGTGAAAGAGTTTTTTGTGATTTTTTTTTCTTCAGTTGTAATTAATAATTAGATGTCCTCTAGTGAGAGACAATGGCTAAATGTGCTGGATCATCTGTACATTTAGAGTTGTCTGTTAGAGCTTGTTTCTGTGTTCAGAAGACTTTTTGTTCCGAAAACAACATAAAAATGCTCAGTGACTGAAACTACCAGTGTATAGGATTTAGTAAAATTCATTAGTAAAATGTTAAGTGATCAAAATGTTTCTACAAAACTGGATCCAATTAGATCTGGACTTGTGTTTTTGTTTGTACAGAGTCCTGAGGTGATTTTTGTTTTGAATTATTTCAGCATAAAAGTAACTGAATTATTATAAAAAAATATTTGGTTCTAGGGCTGTGAAGCGTGATCTGTCAATGTGGAGTCCCTCCTGGATGACTGAGCTTCTCAACCTATCTCTAAGGGAGAGCCCAGACACCCTGCAGAGGAAACTCATTTTGGCCGCTTGTATCTGCGATCTTGTTCTTTCAGTCACTACCTAAAGCTTGTGACCAAAGATGAGTATAGGAATGTAGACTGACAGGTTAATAAAAAGCTTCAACTTTTGGCTCAGCTCTGGCTTCACCACGACTGATCTGTACAGCGCTGTCATATATGTAATAAATATATTCAAAATATGATGTATGACCTTTTATCCATCGTTATTTTGAAGGAAATGTCTGAAATATAGTCCTACAGTATATTTTGAAGCACCATTTAATTTTTGCTA